AGAGATATGATGAGGGTTTTTTTTTTGCCTTAGTCAAGTATATTCACAAAAACATGGGCTAACAGAATAGTATGAAAAAATGTGACCCTGCTGTCCACACACAGAGATTGAAATTGCATTCTCCCACTCAAAAAAGTCTCAAAAAAAATCTTCAAATGCAATTGTTTCATCTTATTTGTCTGCAAAATAGAAAATCTAATCTTGTAGAAAGATATTAAGGTATTTTATTTCATAATATGTTAGTATGTTTCCTATCAGAAATTTTAGTACTCAATTTCTCCCCTTGCCTTCCCACTGCTAAGATGGTTAATTAGTGATCCTTTTTCCCCTGTTTTGGACATCTTATTAATTACCTTTACAAGTAGCATTTACAAGATTTTACTTGTAAGAACAATGTCATAGTAAAATCTGAGCCTTTGCTTTGAAAGCAATAGCAGCACAGTCAATACTAAAAAAGAAATACAAGGAGGAGTGGCTTCACTTGCAAACTCTTTTAACTAGTCCATCATTATAAGCATTTCAATGAATTTCATAAAACTACCAATATCCAATATTCTCAACCTAATGCAATAAATGAAGGGTGATCATATTACCCAGTTTTAAAAATTGCTTTATATAATGTAATCACTTACTTGCTCTAATTGAATTTCACTTTACATCATTTAATAAATGAATGCTGATCATTTGACATAATTGAATAAGTAGTTCAGCTCATTCTCTGTACTTCTTAGGTCAAAAATTATTTGTGTCATCTTCCAGGATGGTATTGTCATATTTTAGAGTTAGGCTTCCTTTCTTCTCTCAGCTTCTTTATTACACTGTGTAATTCCACCTTGTAGGAAGGAGCCTAACCTAGCCATGCAAGCTGAATTTTTCCAGAAAATACATAGTTGAACTCTACAATCTCCTGCTACTCTACATAGTACAACTGTACAACAGACTACAAAAGGCATAATTTCAATTAAAGAGTCATTTTGGCTGATTTAACCATATCCATGTGAGGCAGGAAGGAACTGAGTCTTCAATTACCTTCTAGCAAAGCCCAGATTTTTTACTTTGTGCTTGTGAGACAGAATTTAATTTTGAACTGAAAAGACAAGAGATTTGATGAAGAACAACTCATAATTCAGAAGCTGAATTATCTTCTACTGAGAGTTAAATCAAGCTATCATTCACAATAAAGGAAAAAGGGAAAAAAATAGAGAGTTCATGGAAAAAATATAGAAAGAAGGAAAGACAGACCGTTGAGAAAAAGCTGCAATAATGCTTTTTACATTTCAGAAACAATTCTACCTTTCTGACTGTTGCCTTCTACAAAAGATATCACAATATAATCACCATCTCATGCATGGAATATTGGGATATATATATGTATATATAAGCTCTGTAAAAAAGTAATCACAGAATACATTTCCAGCTTTGCACTGGACATCAGTTTTTCCCCTTCAAATCCAAAGCAACAAAATTTCCAGAAATGTTAATTTTAAGTCATCGGCTGCCTTCCTGTACAGCTTCTAATTTTTTAGATTAAGTAAAAAAAAAAGCTGATGATTCTTTCATAATAAAGACTACAAAATGCATGGAATTCAATAGCATCCAAGGATTTATGTATCTTAGAACACAGAAACAAAGTGCACTTGCTTAGAAATAACACCATTTGTATTTCAAAAGAAGTTATTCCTGTCCAGAAGTAAGTATTCAGAATCAAACTGCCAAACATCAAAGGGGTAATAAATCTACTGATTTGTCTTCTACCCTACTATCAGCTATTTACAGCTGGAGTATGTCTGTCTCATGCACCCTCACATTTGTTACCAAGGTTAAGATATGCTCTTCTACAGGGAAGAATATGCAAGGGAAAAAATAATTACTAAAAGCCATTTAATATATTTAATGTCCAGTTAATTAATTTCATATTTATCTTTGAGTTCTCTTAGTACAGTAAGAGTAGAGGGAGTCACATGTGACCTTAACTTTTAGCAGACAGGAGAATAGATAAGGATATCCACATAAGTAACTCTCTTTAATCACCCTGAAATTATTACTTTCTGCTTAGTGATGAAAAATATAGGCATTCCCTCTAAGAGCCTCTGGCTCAGAAACTGTGAAGGAAGTTGAAATGTATAAGATTTCAGAAGAATAATAATCCCCTTTAATAAAGGCAAATGTTAAAAAGGTACTTTGCCCACTCTTGTACTCTCCTTTCTCCAACAAACTCTTTCTCTCTGGGCCTGTTGCTGTCACTTCATTTTCACTGTGCCTTTATAATGTCATAATAATTTGCATTACAAAGCATTTATGTATGGTACCACAAAGTCCCTATTGTGGTGCTTAACTAGACAAACTTCATTCATTGCCACACCCATCCCATGTCAAGCAACATGAAAGTAATGTTTCCATCTATTATGTTACTCAAAGTTATAACTATTTCCTTTATTTATTTTTGAACATTCATTCTTTTTTTAAGATCTACTGATATCTAATAAATTAGTTATTTTCATTTATCTAAAACAATACCTTTACTGTTTGAGGTAGGTTTGGAGGGAGCTGTTTGAAAGTGTTTGCAGCATATTTTGTGTTAGATCCTGACATGGTTAATAATTTGCATGAAAGAACTCACCTAATGTCCTCTGTTTTTTTTTTCTTTTCTGCTCATGAAAATCAATATCTGGTGATTTAGAGTCTAAAATTTGCAGTAAGTTACCTGAAGTTTGGTAGAAAACTTAGAGCAAAGTGATTGAACTGACTATTCCTTCAAGTGCCAAGGGAGTTTCCAGGTGCAGCAGTTTTTGTGACCCAGGCCTTTTCCTTGTTTCCAGTCCAGTAAAACCTAACGTGGTGCAGTTGTAGGCCCTGGAGATCCCCTACACACACTTACCAAAGGATAAAGCTGCTGGAGTGCCCACCCCCAGCTCAGCAGAGAGGCTTAAGACACTTTCCAAACAGACACATTTATACAAGCACACACTGCGCAGTCCAACACAGGTAGAGCAGAACCCTTGCCAGTGCCTCTCTAAACACCAGTAGCACTGACATAAACAAGCACGTGAGTATCCCATATGCTAACCTAGTCCCTTTCAGCACATGCAGGTGTGGTAATTTAAAGCACTAGCTAAAAATCACCAGAAAACTTACTCCTTGCTGTGAGATATGGATTAGGAAAAGGGTAAAACAGGCTCAAAACTTAAAAGGAATAGAGAAAGTTTATTGACAGAACTACAAGAATAAGAAACTAGAATAAAACCTCCAGAAACCCTTCTTCCCCACCACCCAACTTTTCTTTTGTCCAACTGACAACTTAGAGACAAAAAAAACTGGTGGTTAAAGCGATCTCAGCTTTGCAACAGTCTTTTCATCAGTCTCTGTAGAGAAAGGAGTCTTCTTTTGTCATTCCATGGAGAGTTCTCTACAAGTAAACAGTTTTCTATGGCTTATTATTCACATGATGAGAACCACCCATAAAACTCTGCCATCATGTCCTCCTCCCATTTTCACACCACTCTGAGGTGTGTTCATGGGCCATGAACTCAAGGGGTATTATTTTAAGGATGAGTTATTCAAAGGCAAAAGCTCTCCATTTGTTTCTGTGATCATCCCTGAGAACAAATGTTGTCTCTTTTTCTCCCTGGGGGCAACAGATCTTCAGCAACACACTTCTCTTTCTCTGTTCTAGAATCTCATGGAATCACAACTAATTCATCTGCTCAGCTTCATCAGTGGATACCTTTGCTCAGATCTACACTTTGAAACACTTCATGCCCTCCCAAATACTGTTTCAAGAATTAAAGGAGTTTTTCAGAACATTATTATCCATCTCCATGGCCTTACCAAAATAATATTTCAGCTTTTTAAAGCGTCTCCACATTCTCTTCCCATATGAGGCTTGATTCCTTCCCTCACTGACTTTGATGGTTTATGTTGTCTCTTTACATGTTGATCACTTTTGCTTTCCTCTCTCTGGAAAAAGGGTTAAATCTGCAGGTTTTATTTGAGTTAGAGGGTTAAAATCTGGCTCAAGGCGTGGCAGGTATTCATGGTGTCGGATTTCAGCTCGGCAGCACCTAAGGCTCAGGTTCCCCAAGGAAAGGCTTCAGCCACCCCACTGGAACAGGAACTGGAGGCTTCCCAGGAGGCTGCAGCAGAGCCCGGCCTGGGCCTGGGGAACCCCCGCAGGCTCCATCCCCTGCCTGGGATCTGCGGCAGGCCCAGCCCGGGAAGGGGAAAATCCCCGCAGGCTCCATTTCTCCGCCCAGGAACCGCGGTAGGCCCAGCCCAGCCTCAGCCCAGGCCACATGGCCTGGAGTGGGGAACAGGAGCGAGTTGGAGCTCTGTTATCTTTCAAAGCTGGAAACAAAAAGAGACAGAAGTTCCCGGGCTTAGGTTTAAAAGGTGATAGTCACAGAGTTGATCTCACTTCTCTATGGCGAACAACACTGTCAGTTCTCAGAAATGGCCAGTTATTGGCCAAGCAGAGAAGAAACTCCCAGCTCCCTCCCTCAGAGCCCTAACTTCTGTGTTTTCTACTTTTTTTTTTTCTCCTAAATGCCAAACCATCATAGCAGGCTAGAGGGAGACTGACAGAAAATGGGTAACAAGAGGATTTAGTAAGAAAGGCAGGCGTACCTCAAGAAAAAATAGTACATTGCTAGTATAACTCAAGCACACATGTGACCCCGCATTGCTTTCCTGGAAAAAATAATTGACTCATTCCTTGCTCTGTCATTAAATAAATGAATGAATACAGACAGACTTTCTTGATCTATTAGTTGGGAATTGCTCCTGTGCAACTCCCCAGACTGCTTCACCTCCTGCTGCACATCATAGCATTAGTTACTCTGCTGCTGTCAAACCTATTTAGATTGTAACATCATGCCACTTCAAAAACTGATATGGATTTCTCTTAAGAGTGAGTTACATCTTAAAGCAGCATTTGAGCAAGAAAAATAAATACTAAACTTTACCCAAAGAGCTTCTTATAGAAAAAAAATAAAGCTTTCAATACAAGTTTGGAAATGGAAATATGTGCACATTAATTGCTCTACAAGATTCTACTACAGTTAAGATTCAGTCCAAAAGTTCAGATCATGGTCTCAGACGCTGCCCTAGCCAGATATGCCTTTTATCACTGCTTCTGCTGCACTCACATACAGTAGTTTTTTGTCTGCACATGCTGAAGACGTGTCCCCAGAAGATTTTCAGATACAGAATGTTTATTGAAGAAAAAAAAAGGGGGAAAAAACCAACTGTGGGAGAATGGGAGAACTGGACTAATATCATGACATTAAAGAAAAAAAAAAATCCAGCAGTGATCATAAAGTTTTTTTTAATTGTGTTCTAATGCAACAACAAAGTACTAAAAAGCTGAGGAAACGTGCAGCAGGTCCAGCAAAGCAGCTAGTACCTATAGTCCTGTAAGAAGGTGTATGAGTCCAGAATATTGAGTTCATAGAATGGCTGATGTCTCATGAGAATGCCATTGCTTACACCAGCCAAGAGCTCCAAGATGCTTAGCATAGTACAACACCAAAAAATGTACAGCATAGCAAAACACAACTGGTCTTCCAGCTTCTTTAGACAGCCTTCCTCAGAAAGTTGTTCCATATGGTCTAAGTCCCCCCTGCAGTGAGAATGCTTCTCCTTACAGCAGCTTTCAGGAACACAGCGTGGATAATACCAAGAAGAAGATGATGACTTTAGCCAGTCTGTGTAGTTATGGACCCCACAACACTGCAGCTTCCTCTGTATCATATCCACAGCTTCATTTCCAGGATCCTGGGAGCATGTCCAGTTGTGCTGGTGGACAAGGTAACCCATAGCACCTTCCAGCTGAGAAGATGTCTTAACACAGTAGGAACATGCCAGAGCTGCTGAAGACACTTCTAGGCAAAGAAGGAGCAGCAGCAAGTACATTAGAGTCCCTTGCTGATTGCGGGAACACTTAACAGAAGCAGAGATAGCCAAAACTCCAGTAGGCAGCAATATAAGTGCAGTTGCAAGAGCCAGCCAACCAGGGAGAGACAAGTAAGACTCCTGAAATAAAAATCCATAGTTCTTTAACACCAGGATGACCAAAATGCCGCCAAATGCCTGAGCTACAGCAGTACCACAGAAGATGAAGCCTAGGAACCTCAGCAGAGACTGAGCAAAGGACCTGTGGCAGGCACTTTCATAGCACCACAAAGAGGGCAGAACCACCACAGCCCTAACCCTCCTCATTCTGCTCACTACAGCCAACCCTAACCCTCATCATCAACATTTAAGAGGCTTCTGCCCCACTTATCCAGGTGTGGCAGATGACATCTCCACCTAAAAACAATTTGCAAGAGAGCAACTCTGATGAGGCTCTTTAGGACAAAGACTATGCCCTGCATCAGCTTAACCACAGGCTGCTGCTGCAGCTTGCTCAGCACAGCCTGCAGTAAGCGGGAGGGTGTGTGCCCAGCTCGCTGTAGTGGATCCCTTATGCTGCTGTCATTGGAGACAGTTGCACTTGAAGGAGGACAGCTGGAAGAAGGCTGCACCCCTTTCATGGGTGGAAGACCTAAGTGCAGGGGAATGAATAGTCAAAAGGATTGTCAGCAATGTTTCTTCAGATTACTTGGACTGTCCATTTCTCCAGCAGTAGCCAGGATGGCAACAAATGTGCAAGTCAGAGCCATCAACAAATGAATGGATTAAGCAGAGCTACTCAATAAGAAATCTCCACAGGTGATACTCATCTAGATTCATTATCCTCCTCAACTCCTTTATCATTCATTCAATGTTGTAAGGCCCTTAATGATGTTAATAATATTCTGCCCTTTTTTACTCAGCAAGATTTCTCTGTAGATAGCTTCAATCGCTCAAGACACCTGGATGAAAAATCCCTGCCATTTCACACTTGTACCCCTGAGGATGCATTACCAGTGATTTGACTGACTGCTAATGACTGAATACAAGCAGCAGTAAGTAACTTTTCCTTGTGTGTAAAGAAACTGAATACACACCAGCTAAATCACTTAACAACAATAACAAAGGGAATCAATGCCACTTACCAGCATTATCAGAAGAATATTATTGCTCAAACTTGTGGTACACATGAGCCACGCAGGACTGAAAACCCCCATAAATCTTGCCACAGGTGTCAGGAAGGCAGACCCTAAGCCCAGCAGTGATTCTGTAATCATCCTGATGTAGTTCCTCAAAGTGTCTTCAGTTTCCCAAGACACAGAGCAAGACTAATGCAACATACATACATAAGGGAGAATACAGAGAGATTATCTTCATTTTCAGAAACATGAGCACCTGCAAAACTGACAGAAAATCAGAATAATTTGGTGCTCAGATCCCTGGAACCCTGTTAAAAGTCTCAGCAAAGCTGATGCTCCCACATCTGTCAGACATTTTACAAGAACCTATTGCTGATATATACAGTATGCACACACAGATGCTGGGCAGATTCCCATCAAAATCTCTTTCTACATGCTGCACAAATAAGTTATTAAGGCTAATTATTTTGGAATGAGATAAATTGCTTTTATTATTTTTAATCTTTTCATTAACAGTAATTAGCATGCAGCAATTAACTTGTTAAATCTTAACAAAATCCATCTTTCAAAGCTGCTCCTGGATGTATGTTTTCCTTATCTGATGTCTGTGTCTGCCCTTTCTCCTGTCCCACCTGCTGCTACTCCCAGCCCTCCTTCTGTGTTGGTTTTGCTGCTGCTCACTTATTCTCTTGAATGCTTTTTTCTCTGATTTCTGTCTTCTCCATCAGAGGGATGGAGAAGGGGGGGCAACAGAATTCCCCCTCACATCTGTACACACATGGAAGCTACACTGATTTGTTTCCACAGTGCAGAAAAAAATTATCAGAAGAGCGTGGGGAAATACATCAGAAACACAGAAGAAAATACTGTGAGGAGTACTAGTAACTTTTTCTTTAGCTTTCAACCTTTGTGAAAAAATGTATGTGAGCCTGCCTCTTTTCCTTTCTGCCCTTTCCTATGCCCATAAATCTAAACAAGATATTAAGAAAAGAGTTACAACATTATTTACTTTTAGCTTATTCTACATCTCTTTTTGTGGCAGAACAAACGGGCCAGAACTCACACCTGACAACCAGTACAACCTGGGAATCAGAAGCGCCAACACTAAACATTGACTGGGAGCCAGGTAAGAGGTCTCAGTGTCCTTGGGGGAAATAGACCACACTCAGCACCATGGAAGAGGAAATTGCAGTGGTGGGGATTAATATGGGCAGAGTTATCTAAAAAAACACTCACTTTCTTTTTGATATGCATTGTATAGGTGCTCAGGAGAAGAAAGCTTCTGCTCAAAATATATGAAGGACAAGAGAAACAGAATTGGTGCCTGAAGTAACCAAAAGACTAACCGGTACCCTCAATAGCACTGCCTTTGTGATAAGTCATTTTACCTGTGCGCATGGACAAAAGCTTGAAAAAGCAACGAGCAGAGCTCTCCATCAGGAGACTGTAATGTGGCAAAGAGAATATAGGTATGACAGAATAGGAATGCTCCTCTGTTTTCTTTCCAGTTGTAAACAGCACAACATGATAAATGCTGTCCCTGTTTTCTCTGAAGTTGTTTCTGCTTATGAACTGATGTGTATTGAAATTGAAATGTGGGTGTAACAGATAATACACCATATTTCCTGGAATGTTGCTGAAAGTACAATCCTTCAAGGTAATAAAATGTCAGCAGTATACTTTTTTTTTGTGTTCACTGCTCTAGAAAGCTGTAACTGACATTGAACAGCTCTGATGTGCCCAGAAGGTCAAAGAGGTTCGTTCCATTCGGCGCCAGGAATGGGACCAGAGAGCCATCAAGTCAACATTGTGTTTGTGCAGTGTAGGCAGATGACTAAACTCATTTTGGATGACACAGGCAGGCTGTCATACACAGAGGCTGTCATACAGATTGATCAGGGGGCAAAGCTGAGCTGTAAGGGGCAACAATTCAAATCCAGATGGCCAGCTAGTCTGTTAAAACTTGTGTGAACAATACAAAGTCTAGAGGTGACCACGGCATCAGGGTACATGAGACAGGGTAGATGGTACATCAGGTTACACAAGCCCATCTTATGTTTGTAGAATCAAGAGTCAGATAATGGTTCACGTTGGAAGGAGGATTAAGGATTACCTAGTTCTAGCCCCCTGCCACAGGCAAAAAACCTTCCACTAGACCAGACTAGACAATCTTCTAAGCTTCATGCAGGCCTCCTTTAAAAAGAGAGAAGATCTCAAGACCATACCCTCGGGAACTGCTCTATGTGTCTGTCCTGGGGTGACTTTATGATACCTGGTTTATGTTACATATTAAGTTCTGCACCTTTAAGACTGGCTCTGAGAGTGAAGTGGGGGAGAAGAAGCTGCAGTTTGTGTTAAAGAAAACATCACTCCCCCACACCCCGCTCCTGGACTGTGGTGTCTGCAGCACGGACAGACAGCGGGACAGAGCTGCTCTCTGGCTTTTAGTTAGTTCTAGCTAGCTGAGGCAGAGGAGTTCCCTGGACTTTTTTTTCCTTTTTTCTTGGATCTGTTCAAACCTGCTCTGGACTGAAGAACACACAGCCAGACCCCGGGAGCTCAGGCCTGTGGCCCACCGGGGCCTGGGCCTCGGCACTATCCGGCCCAAGGGGGACTGATAAGAACCTGAGCGAGCTGAGCTACACCACATGAAAGGGACTTTTCTTACTAGACTTGCCATCCCATCAAACAGTGAGAGGTTTTATTATTTAATATTATTCAATTTCTGTTAAATAAACAGCTTTTTCCACTTCTCTCCAAGGAAATTTCTTTTTCCCAGACCAGTTGGAGGGAGGGGTTATTTAATTTTTTTCCCTGGAGAAACCCCCATTTAGAATTTTTCTCCCAAATTTGCCCTAAACTAAGACAGTGTCCCAGTGATACAGAAAAACCCCAAAGTTGCCTCAGTAAAACAGCTGTTATTTCCCCTGAAACCCCTGTACGGATGAAGATGTAGATTGTGAAATTAAAGCACTCAGAATGAGGTTTGTTTTGAGAGTTTTGAACATTTTTTAAAGGCCTTGTCAGATTAAGGCACACTTACAGCATAAGGTATGCCTTTAAAACCATCCTAAAACATGAGGGGTTTTATAAGTTTCCTCTACTCCACTTTTACATTAAGCTTCCCAACCACTACACACCTTCTTGACAGATCCACTGGGTGGAAGCTGGTGTGTGATCCAGCTGGGCTGGCAAATCCAGAGAAAGTGTAAACAGCTATAACTGGTATTACTCCTCCTTTCACTGGTCCCCATCCTGTCTGCTGGTGTTGGTAGTATCATATCTTTCCCAAGCCAAAGAGAATTCACACACACTTTTTCCACTTTCCAAGAAAAGCCCTGACTGCGTGTAAAGTGGCAACAATTAAATAGTAATATTTGAAGGGAGGGGAGAAGGAGACCAAAACCAACCTTTGATTCTTCTCTATCAGGTCATTCAAACTATAACTCCACACAGCAGAAGGACTGGGTACCAACTGGAAAGCTATTTCTAAAACACTGAAATCTGCAAAGCATATTGCCTCTTTGAGAATAAAGAACATTGTTTTATGCAACATGTCATATTACAAGATCATTCAGGTAGCCCAAATGGAAAAAAGATTTTAAAAAAACTGGTTGGACCCAGTGCCTACAGTTGCAGCCATGCACAACCGGTTTCCATAGTAACCAAAGTGAGATGATGTTGCCTTGCATGAGCCTAATACCTCTCATGGAAAGCTTGAAGCAAGCAGAGGTATGACTACCAGCTCCTATTCATGCAGAAAATATACTCCACACAAGAACTGATTTACCATTATGGGCATGTTTGAATTCAGGTCTGTCAGTTGTATACCCTGGCTGCATTTGCCACACCAAAGGTGGCCTTTTTTGTGATTGAAGCAGCACATCAAATGTTTTCAGGCTCCTATTTGGTTTTGCTTTTAATATCCCACATATTCATTGGTGTTGAAAATATTCAAAATCAAATGTCAAGGGTTTGGTTTCTTCACGTATTTCCCTCTTTCTTTCCTTTCATGACTTGAACATTAAAAAATGCAGACTAAAAGCTTTTTTTTTTTTTCTTGTTAAATTTTATTTTTCCCTTCCTATTTTTGTTTGCCAGTCTGGAATTGCTATGAAATATCTTGTGACTGGATGAGTACAGACTATCAAGCTATGAAAGAGGAGGGGAAAAAAATCACTTTCTGTATTTCTGTCACTTCAGAAATTGGAGAACATTTTAAAAGATCCAGAATGGCAAAAGAAAAAAAGAAATTAAAACTAAAAGGGAACTTCTGTTCTTTTGATTGTCATTACTGCAGTTGGTAATAAAAACAGGCTTGAAGAAGAGGTACTTTTTAAAACCTTCAGAAAATTAAGAAAGAGCTGAACACCATGAAATTCAAGTCACCTTGACATTTAAAGTATTTTGTGACTTGGTTTTCCTTCCTTTCAGCCATCACTAGCTACAATATCACTCATGTGAATGCATTGCTCTCATTTGTGTTTAAAAAGATATGGAAGGTTTCTGGGCATTTTCTGAAGTTATAAAAAGACTTCTAATATGAAATATAGGCCCTTTAATCGTTAACTCATAAAAATAGCTAACAGATTTCTCTTTAGGGAGGAAGTGAGGAGTGCATGCATACATTATCTGGAAGTTATTGAAGACCTGACAAGAAGCTTACACTTGTCAGAACTTCTCATGAATAAAGTATGCTCTTTGTTGTGTATCCTCAGAAAACGCAATTCTTGTAGAACGCTTTTACCTCAAGAGAAGACTTTCATACAACATTGGGCTGCAGCCCTTCTGGGCCAGCTTTCTCCATTGTATTGCCTGTGAAAGCTCAGGCAGATCATAGCAAGGTGTAGCATTCTGCTTGTGACCTTTTGTCCAACAAGTGCAGTCATGAAGCAGCAAGCTGTGAATAAAAATTTGGAAATTCTTTTTTCATATTGTCAATATACTATAATCTATATACCTGATACAGGTCTTTCAAATTAACATTCTGATAAATCTTAAGATCAGTCAGTCTCAGCATCCTAAATTACAGCAGTACTTTTACAAATATTGCCTTTAGATACTTTATTTACCAGAGAATGTAGGTCTATTATGCTCTCTGAGCTCTGAAAATTTCAGTCTTGAGTCATCAGGGTTTATTACAATATGGAAACTTGAATCCCAATGTTTATCTCACAAGGGAAATCTAGGCTCAGTATCAGCTTGCTCTTGAGAGCACTGTACCAGTGATGTACTTGTTTGAGTGTTGTTGGTTCCTGTAACTACTCAAACTAGGTTGTAGAGGAGAGATTCAGCATGATCACATGCAAAGAATTCTTGATTACATTTTCACTTGAGTAGCAACTTAGGACTAAAAATAACCCATTGTAGCAGCAATGATGTTATGAGCCCAGGACTACTTCTGAAATAATTGTTCTGTATTCAAAGACACATATAGCAACTTCTTTAAGATGAGAGCACTGGATTAGACTGGTGTGAGCAGCTTGCATACCTCTTTAGACCTGTAATGGGAGCACACTCAAAAGAATGGAATTTGTGCAGCTTGTGTTTCATGAACTCATTGTTAATATTTTGCAGGGTGTAGATTCTTCTGGTAAATTACTGAATCCTTCTTCAGTCATTGACCGGGGGGAAAAAATAAATTAAAATATTTATTTTGGTTTAATCAGAATAATTGTTAAAAGATCACTTTTTCACCAAGGAAGATATTAGCAAAGAATGTTTTCAGCCTACAAGACAGCTGAAAATTTAGTCAAGTGAAAGCAAACCAGTAGTTGATAGGGCCCTTGTCTCTTTTTACTGGAATAGTAAGTATATCTGTATCAAACATAATGTTCATCTCATATCGGGTTTTATAGTGACTATACAAGAGAATTTATTTTTATTACCTTTTTAAAGTCATGATATGAACATATAAAATGTCAACTTTGTCAGAATTAGTCTTACGGCACATTTCGTAGAAGTGGAACCAATTTTAATGGGATTTTTATGCATCTTTTTATGCATGAAATGCGGGTTTTAGAGGGGGAAAAAAATCAAAACCAAAGATATATGCAATTTATTTCTATGCTCTATTTCTATCTCCTATCTCACCACCAAACAATTGTCTTCAAGAGGTATTCTGCGTTTAAATGGAGATGCTGTCATTGACATGCAAAGGATCTATTATGTCTAAAATCATACAAGCATCTAAATTTTTTTTTTAAAAAAGCAAACAAATGAAAATATATTTGAACATGGAATGTAACAACACACTTAAGGAAAAAAAAATGTGAATACATTCCAGTACCAGGAATGATGTCTCTGCTAACTTACAGACCAATGACAAGTAGAACAACTTGGTATTGTCTTGGTAGGAGTCATTTTATTTTATTTCAGGATTTAGGTACTCATCAAAACAATTTATGGGCCTAACTGCTTGGAACCAGGGGCCTTTTCAGAGGTTCCCATAATGCTGAAATCCAGCTAGGTCTACCAAAAATATTCCAGTACTCTAGAAACATCTTACCCTTTCCCACAGCATCTTGATGGGTGTGGTTATTGTTATCCAAGCACCTTCTTCAGCACCTTCCAGCATAATTGGGCTCTGGGATATGTTCTGCATGAAAAAGCCCAGGAGAGACAGCTTT